ATGGATGGATGGATGGATGGATGGATGGATGGATGGATGGATGGATGGATGAGTTAATAGATAGATGGATGAATGTGGATGATGAATGAATGAGTGGATAGATGGATGGATGAATACATGGATGGATGGATGGATGGATGGATGGATGAGTAGATGGATGAATGAATGAGTGAATGATAATACCTCAACTACGTCCCTCTATTTTCTTTTTTTCAATCTTTTCTGAACCTTGAAAACTCTTGAATTCCAAACTTTCCCAGACTGCACAGGAAACCTGTCTCTACCTGCTCCTTTCTCTCAGCTGCATTGATAAATAAGAGCTTTAGAGCCTCCCGTGCTTCCTCCCCAGGGCATTTATCAGGAGACGAGCGAATATATTTCATCCCATGGCCAATCCTAGTCGCTCGCCCGAAGATGAATTACCCCCGACTTCTTAAGGTCAGGGAAATATGGCTACTAAAACTCTCAAAGTGAACGTGACCATTACTATCTCCACAATACAGTCGTCCCATCCCTCAGCGGGGTCCTGGTGAAATATAGTCCAAAATAAATGCTCAGCTATTTTTCACACAGCACCGTGACCCTGCTCTGGCAAACAAACTCATAAAGAAAAAAAATGGCAGCCAGTTTGCCGCCAAATTAGCCTCAAATCCAAAAGCAAGCTAAAGAGAAACTAATACCTTCCACCATTTGTTGTAACACACCAGAATTGGACGCTGCTCAAAATCAAGTCCATTATCCTTATCACACATGTTAGGTGAAATAATTGTTGTATTTTGTTCTAATTTCCTGAGCCGGGAAAGAAGGGAACCATTGTTTTTCCTCTCTACCCTTTGCGTGCCCTCCAACACCTGTCTGCCATTTAGGCTGTGGCTCCACGCCAGCACATTCGCCGTTTCCATGCGCTGGTTTTGCATAAGCTACGTCTTGGGCTTGACTTGTTTTCTTTATGAAAACGATCCTGCACGGCTCATATCTGTTTGTTTTCCAGCTGTAACTCGAATCCAGGACCGAGGGTAGTTTTCATGCGCGTTGCCCAAACCAATATCCTCTTCTAAAGTGTCTCTTTTAACATGACAAGGGAGATCAGAACCTCAGACAGAGGAGAGCTTTTGTTACACTGTGACGCTGATTTACTTGCTATTCTGAATCTACATCGGAAGAGAAAGGCTGCCTTTTGTTTCAGGGGCAAGTTCTCCATCATTGCTAATAGCCTGGAGATACGGTTGAAGTTGGCCAGTTGCTGACGAGCCTAAACCATCTCGCCTCTGCGCTTATTTTAATACTTCACACAGCAATTGTCTATGGATTCGCATCTGCTAGGAACAGATTGGGATGGGGGCATTCTTCAGAGGCCGGCGCTCTGCTCCACGCTGTCAGGATAAATACTCCGCGACTCTGCGTGCGACTGTGAGAGAAAGACGGGAACAATGACGGGCATCTTTGTGTATATTTCCTGCCTCTCTGAGGAGGAGCTGCTGACCTTTGATGATTGGCCGACTGAGCTGCCTGGGATCACTGCACCCTGCCAAACTCGCCCGCTGCTCGACAAAAGCAAGCACATGCCCGCAGCGCGCTATACATAATGCAGCGCCTCGCATACTGTAGATCTCAGCAGATATCCTCCTTCAGTCCATCTGATCACATCAATCAGTGCCCGATACCAGATTTCAGTTTATTAATTCATCGGCTCATGTCAGATGAATCCCCATTAAAGACTCGCGGTGTTTACCATGAGGATCAGCAAAAGAGCACACTATTTATAGCCGCTTCTATTCGAGATGCCGCCCTCATTGTCTCCGGACGGAAGGCTGCAATATGTTTCAGTCTTTGATATCTGTAGGGAATGATGGAGCTCTCTCTTCATGTCCATCTGGTCAGAGCTGGACCCCGTGGAGCCCCTTTCTAGGCGACTGCTGACTCTGCCCCTTTGCACTCTCCGGTTTTTAATCCTGACAGAATAAACGTGCCTTCTTATAATTCGCAGGGGATGTAAAATGAATACATAAAAGTTAAGTCGTGCTGGCTTTTGAGCTAGCCGAGTCCAACATGGATGCTTTCTCACCCCGAGAAGTGTCCTGCCAAACCGGTACGAGCCAGCCATGTGCGTTTTCACAGCCCATTTGGCTCGTGGTCACTTATCTGGCAGGTTGTGTTTTAATCAGTGGAGAGATGCTTCAATTCTCACCTCTATTAATAGGTCAGGGAGCAACAGAGAGCTGATCCACGAGGTAATACAGTGCATTATGCTAGCAGCAAGTGTCACTCCAGTGTTAATTAGAAATGATCACCTGAAAAGGTCACCCAGGTGGGGATGAGCTAACGGTGGGCCACAGATGAACCTTATGTGTGAAAATGTACCTCAAGGGAAAAGCAGCTTTTCCTTGCTGACGCCTGAGCGAGATGAACTCATCATTTATCGCTTGACGCCAGTGTCAAGAGAAGGGGTTAAATGTTTAATTTACGTAGTGAAAGGAGGAGGGTTACTCCTTGTTCTACAGTAGAAAAGCTTCATAAATAAGGAAAAATGCTTTCTTATTCTTCGTCTTAGCCTCCTTCAGGGTTGCTAGCTGCATATTTTTCATGTCTAAATTCCAAACTTTTCGTGCAAAAAAAAGCCCACTTTGGGCAATTTCCACATACAGATACAAAAGTTCACTGTGAATATATCACGCTTTTATCGAGGTCAGGTCATTAATACAGCAAAAGCACCAGGCGGAAAAAGAAAGCAAGGCAGGAAATAAGATAGAAAATAAAAACAAAAGAAGGAAAAAGAAACAATTTAAAGGATAGGAAGGAAGGAAAAGAGGAAAGGAAAGAAGGAAGAAACAAAGGAAGGGATGAAAGGAGGAAAGAGAGAAGGATGACAGGAAGGGAAATAATTAAGAACAAGGAAGATGAAGAGAGGGCAAGTAAGGAATGAAAAGCAGAAAGGAAGGATAAAAACTGCACGGTAAGGAAAGAAAAATGAAAAAGGAAGTAAAGAAAAAAAAGAAGAAAATGAACAATCAAGCACATTAAGACAAGCGGACTGGGAATAACATGAAAACACAAACATTTTTCAAAACTTTCCCAGGATCCCTCCTCCTTGTTGGAGCTGCCTGATGAACCACCTGTTCTGTATAACCGACTCTTTCTAACTTTAGTTATAAAATTCAATTATTCTTGAATTTATTTTAAAATCCATACTTGCTCCTGAGATCACTCGATTCCGTTGCCAATGGCTACGAATAAATCTCAGACGTCATGTCTTGCACTGTTGCAGCAGAGTTGAACGGCGATAGTTTTGCAGTGTGTGGGTGGTTTCTGCACTCACTCTGTGGGCACTGTTCGCTGGTACAGTTCATAGACTGGAGGTCGAGCCCCTGGCAGTCTTTGCCCCCGGTGCCGGGCGAGGGCTGGGAGCACTCCCTGCTCCTCCACATCGAACAATCTGCCCCGCACGCTGACCACTTGCTCCACTCGCTCCAGCCCCCGTCCACTATGAGAACACACATATAAAAACATGGCTGAGGATAAACATGCACACATGGCAACAAACAGCCCCAGTTTACACCTGCACTCCAGTTTACGGGGAATAAAATGATTGACTGGAAAGCAAGGTGACAGAATTCGAACACACAGTAAAGTTTATTAAGAACGCGGCGGCGGATTCGTGTAATTTGAGAACACATAGATCAGAATGGTCCGTTTGCGTCGTGTGCAAAACCACTCGTGCAACCCCAGCATTGATGTTTTACAGTCATGCAAATACGCTCGTGCATACTTTTCAAATCCACCAGAGGCACAGGGGAAACCACTGCATGTAAAAACTGCAGAGGAGAGCCGTGTTGTTTCTATTCTACGGTCTGTGTTTATTTTTAACATGTAAAGCAGATGCAGAAGATAAACCCGGGTGGTGTGAATGTGCTGTGACCTGGTCGGCAAACCAGATATGCACAGAGAAAAAAACAAAAAACAAACAAAAAAAAAAAAAACAACTGCTTTGCAAACATAAATAGATATGCACACATACGGTGTTTTGCAAAAGTATTCCCGCCCCATAACTTTTCAGCATTTTGTGAGATTAGAACCACGAGCTTCAACGTTTTTAATAAGACTTTATGCGCTATTTCATCATAATGTATTACATTGTTGAAAAGTGGAAAGGAAAAAAAAAAAGAAGACACATCTGGACCAAAAAGTTCAATCCTGCTCTCATCTGACAGGAGCGCCTTTCCCTCTCATGCTACTTCCTACCCAAACCAAACAAGACGTTACTGTAGCAACTGTGATGCCGCCCGCAGTGCAACTGGATGCAAAACACAATACAGGTGGTGTTATTATGAGCTGAGGAGAGAGTACATTACAGCTGCAGGCCAGTCACAACTTCAAACAGCCCATCATCAGCACAAGCAAAATGAGACAAATGAAAATGGGCCGGTAATAGTTGTGTGCACGGCCGACTGTAAGAAATATCAGCCGGCCTTTTCTTCACACAGAGAAGGAGGCCATTTCACAAAGGAGGGGGTAATTTGGCATTGTGGCCAGTGGAGGTGGTGGCTGAGAGTGATATTGAGAGTGACACAGCGCTAGGCCGGGAGAAGGTTACCGTTCGGCTAATGGGAAAAAGAGCAGTAATGAGCTCTCATGGGGGGGGGAAAACACCTCTGTCTCGCTCTCTTTCCCAAACGCCAGGGTGAAGGGGACCCGATGACGTTCTCCTGCGCGCACACACACACACACACACGCACACACACACACACACACACACACACAAAGTTGAAGCACATATCTGTGACAGTGGTGACCCCACCCCCGGCTGACCAGAGGCTTGGAGAACCCTCGTGTTCATTAATCTTGGTAATAAAGAGAACAAGGGGAACAATTCCCAGAAAGCCGATCATTCCCCTGGCGGTTCACGAGTCTTTGGTTGATCAAACATAAGTGAGATGCCAAAATTTTTCAAATTTGCATAAATCTTAACTTGGAAAACCAGGTGAAAAGCAAATTAGGCTTAGTTTGTAAGTAAAAATAGAGAATGAAAATACAGTATATTTATGTATGTATGTTTTTTTTTTTTTTCCAAATGGCTACAAGAAAAACTTTAGCACTACCCTGCTTGCTTTGTGTGCGTGGCGGGATGCTGACACAGCCTGGATTCTTTTTGCAGTCAGATCAATTTGGCAGCAAGAGCAGAACCAATCAGATAATTGTCCTTGTTTGGCATTGAGTGGACCCATCCGTGGGCCAGTGGGCTCATTGTCCAGGCTGGGAATGAAAATGATTGAATAGCAAATTACATCCTAATGAATATATTATGTTGCCCCTCAGTTTATCCACATGGCTGTGAAATAAAGAGATGAGATCAACATCTGCCCTGATGAGATGATGGAATTCTTCTTCTCCCTCCTCCAGCACAAAGCAAAACTAATGACCATGCAAATGACATTTTCAAACAAGGAGAGCAACGTGGACGTAAAAAGTGATGCTAGGCGTTGCAGGACACGAGACGAACACCCGCCACCCAAACCTGACGAGAGTCAAACGTAAAGAGAAGAGATGCACGGATGAGCCTCGACTATGAATGCGTGCCACGAGGCTGAGCATGAAAGCAAGCAGCGTACGGAAAGCATAAAGCCACAGTAAAGACGCAGCAATTACAGATATGAGAAAACCAACTAACAGATCTTTTCCTTTTAATTTGTCAAGCTCCATGAGAAAACTAATCCAAAGCCATGGTTTTCCAATTTAAATCCCCAGAAGGAGATTGTTACTTCCACAGCAAAAGGCACCTTAGCTGATTTTCAATCTCGCAGCGCCGCAGGTTTCAGGTCAGGTGGGTCTCTGAGGAGGTACAGTAATACAATAACCCAGTGGCACCCCCCACTCTTCAGTCCCCCCCGAACATTTGGACACGTTGCCAAGTGTAGAAGCAAAAAAGAATCCGACCATTCTCCACAGGTCAGTGGGAGGGCCTGGTTGAGACTCCGCTGTTCAAAATGACAATGGCTGCTGACGGACGCAGCTCGAGATCGCTGAACGCCTATGGTTTCTTTGTCCTTGAAGGAGACATGGGGAGGTGGACAAGTACCACTGAGACCAGCAGGTTGTCCCTCCGCTCCCACTGTCCTGTCAGCGCACATGTGTGTGCACACGTCCCGCCGCTGATCCCAGGCATCAAAAGGCCGATTGAAAAAAAAAAAAAAGGAATAAAGGCTTTTTTACTTCTGAAATAAAAACCGATCTGATGGTTAGCAACACAATGTTGATGTGCAATCCCGACTACTTTCATATTATTTCTTTGCTGATCAAAACACACAAAAAGCTGAGCTCACTCTTTTGTGCCGCTTGAAGCAGAGATATAAACCAAAGTGAGACAGGGTGAGATATGAAGGAGGGTGGGCTCAAAACGAAAGGCACCAAATGATTAAAAATGATGCAAGTCTGTCACCAGATGGCCACCGTCTTTTTGCATCAAATTAATGTGCTCGGCTGCCACATTTATTACCCACCGCCTTCATTTATTCTATGGATAAAACGTGCAATCTGCAGAACAATCTAGGATGATTTTTTACAAACGCGCGAGGATGCACTTCCAAAAGTACAATTAGACTTTCGCCTGCGGTGCAGAAACAAGACATATGAGGACATGTGCAGGACTCGTGCACAGACGCAGACACGAAGAAGGGCGTGCGCATGCACACCGGCTCCGAGTCTATTTATTTTCCATCTTGCTGGAATTCTCCCGAGTCCGCTGGCAAGCCAGAGGGATCGTTACCATTTTTAAATAATTCACTCAAGTTAGAAACCTCTTCAGGTTGTTTGGTGTTTTGCTCTCATCTCAGGCAGCGGCTCAGTTCATCGTGTTGCCTTCCAAAATCTGGTGACTAACTGTTAGCTATTGGCTGCGGGGATGTGAGTCTTTGTTGGAAATGTTGGCATGATCTGACATTTTGCCACTACTGTTGGCTCTGACCGCAAGTCGGTGCAGGGGCACAGTCAATAAGAGGGTGAGGGATGGACTGCTGTATTATGTGGGATATTTCAGCGGGATATGCTGGGATGGAGACAAGAGAAGAGAGGAAAAAAAAGGTGGAGAGGAAAGAAGGGGGGGGGGCACAAATGAGACGAGCTCTGGCATGGTTTGGCTACTCGCTGTCTCAAGTGTTGATCTGCTCTGCTCTCAGCCTCAGGCTTTAGCCTCAGCCTCCTCCACAGCTCCCCGCGTCTCTCCCAGCAAGGAGCCCATCTGATCCGCCACGCAGGCCTCCGCCAACTCTCATTAAACACTTTGGAGACTCAGACAAAAATACAGATGAGCCTCCATGGCTTCGCACGTTTCCAAAGAGAGGTGGGAGCTCGCATTTAGACACAAGAGTCATCGTGAACAGACGTGTGGAGAGTTTTGTTATTGATGGTGCCAGGCTGTGGAAGATGATCCATAATGTATGGGTGTAAAAATATGCCTGAGCGGCTGACCTGCTCAGAAGAAACCACGTTACTTTCAAAAGGAGCACATCAACCAGAGGTACACATGAAGACTTGGCTGAACAATAGGATTGTTTCTTTCTTTATTGTTTATTTGCATGCGGACAAAGAGTTAGGTAGAAACACAAACAGAACACCGTAAACATTTATAGCCTCAGCTAATTTGCGATGCCCATCCCTGCATGGGTTTTTAACGACATAAAAGAATTTAAAAGAATGGCTACAGTGAAACTGGGACGGCCAGGGCGCAAGCTGCTAAAATAAAACCAAACTAAAGTGTATTGCAAAAGTTTTTATATATGTCTGATTGCTTTTTGTGGCAAACCAAAAGAAAGTAGCACAAAATATGAAGAGATCAGAAAAGAAAACATAGTTTCCAAATGTTTTCATGAATATAAATCAAATATATTTATTTTAAATATAAAAAAATGCGCTCCATAATTTATGCCTAGTCAACACATAGCCCAGGACCCAATATTCTTTTCAAAACACATTAAGCTTATGAAAAGAAGGTCTAAGGTGCAAGAATATGCTGTGATTTAAGCCTGCCCATTGTAGCTCTCTCAGTGCAGAGGGATACTGTCCCACTGAATAGTGAACGTCTAGCGCAGTCTCAAATCTTTTGCAGCCTCCTACAAGAATTTACTAATAAGGTGACATCTGAAGTCAGTTGTTTACAATGGACTCTTAATACAAATGCGCACTGGAAAAAGAAGAAGATAATTCTCCCTAGCCTTCACAAACATGCCCTACTTTGTGCTAGTTCATCACAGAACATCCCAGTTTAATACACTAAGGTGTATTAAACTGCAGTGAGAGAGAATACGTGAAGAAGCGCGAGGGGTGTGATTGAACACTTTTGCGTGAAGTTAAGCACACCAGAGATCTAATAATCAACAGCAAATTCCAAGTTTAGATAATTGATGAGGGCTTGAAACCAGACCAGCTTTAAATCATGTAATTTTTAACAACGCAACTCAAAAACAAAGCAGCTGCGGAGGAAACCCCCGCCCCGCCGCCTCTCAAGGCTGGCATAAAAAAATAAAGAGCACTACTTCTGAATCCAAATGTCAGCAGTGTCTGAATAAATAACACGATGTCTATCTGCGGCGTTACAGCTCTCCATGCGATCCGCTCTTCTCAAGTCTCTTTCAGAGATGGACTTAAATCACTATCTAGACCTGTGAAGGCTATACGCGCGGCGATAATTGAAGTTGTTCTGCAGTAAGTGGTGATGCTCTCTCTCTCTCTCTCCCTCACACACCGCAAGAAGGCTGGACGGCTGCTTCTTGCTGAGTGCGACTCTTGCATATGCGAGTGTCTGGTCATGCGTTCAAGCTCATGATTCATCCGTTTGTAAATCATTTGGCTGATGAAACAAAAAGGGGTTTAATGTGGGAGATCTGATTCCGTTAATGCCTCTGCTTACACGAAGGCTTTCGGCGCTCCTTGGGAAACGGCAGGCCAGCATCCACAGCCGCTGGTGCTGCCGACTGTGGCCAGCTGCAGACAGCTGGGCCTGTCAGTGCCACTGATGCCACCGGCTCAGACGAATAAATGTGAGAATCGCAGCCGGAGACCGCGCTCTGTTGCCAAACACCGGGACTGACAGGTGTAAGTGGGGTCATGTTGCCCTAGCATCTCTCATCAACAAGGGGGAAAAAAAAAAAGACTTCTTTCTCTCCCAAAAGTCTCTGTAAAAACGTATTTGCCGGACACAATGCAGTTTTTTTTTTTTTTTTTTTGCCATAGCTCCCTTTTGGTGGGAATTACACTCTTTCTCCTTGAGGAGCAGGGCAAAGATGAAGGAGGAAGCGGTTTGGTCTAACAATAGCAGCTTGGACTGACATTAATCTCTTTAAGCTCATAGAGGTCAGTAGCCTGCTTTGCTGTGGAGGAATGTCAAGCATCCCTGGGCACCGCTCTAATTCTAATTCCATTACTAGTTTCTCCGGCTCTAATAATTCAGACTCTGTTCACATCCCGGCGCTGCGTCGTGCATTTGTGTTTCCTCCTCCCGCTTTATTCCAGTGGGCCATGTTACTTACACTCATCCTTGACATCTAGTAATGTCTTTACATGGGAGATGTGTAACAGAACGCCTTGATCGCTGAGCAAGATAGCCTCAGTTTTAGGCAGCAAGACGAAGCTCGTACCTCCCCCTCCCCCCCCTTTGTCAAAGGTGTCGTATTTCCTTCTCTGATATTTACAGACTGTGGGAGATTTCTCCTGCGGTCAGCGTGGCCCCAGCTCCCTGTCAGAGCCAAACACCCGGCTCCATTCCCTGCCAGCGTCTCTCTCTCCTTTTCTTTCCGACGTTATATCTGATTCCACCTGTTTCTATCCCTGCTTCCACCTTCCTCCTTCATTTTCCTGTCCAGGTCTCTCCCCTGTCAGGAGTTTCTAATGCGAACCAGCAAATGAGGCAGCTTGACTTCCATCTCAGGCTCCCAGAGATCAATAAGTGTTGCTCACTATCAGCCACGACGCTCTCTGCCTCTCAGACTCTCTCACAGGGGAGACTGAGCCAGCAAATGAAATTCCCCTTAACTCCTCTCACATAAACATAGCACGCAAGCTCCCATAATTCAGATTTTTTTTTTTTAACCACACATTTTAAGCAGCAGCTTGAACAGGAAACAACAACAATTGCTCTGGTGAGAGCGACGCAAAGCCAAGGCTGTGTCTATGTGTATGGGGTGGGAGCTGAAATAAAAATCAAGCCTATTCACTGCGCAGCTGATGATGCAAACAACGTGTGATAGTATTAAATCCCTTGCAGGATTGCTGTGCAAGCGCTCTAATTGCAGAAGGCAACAAAAGCTTGGTATTTAAAAAAAAAAAAAAAAAAAAAAAAATGCTACTTGGAGTTGGAGCTACGGTGCGAAAGGGCAGGGAAAAGAATGAATTGATGACTTCTAGATGCAGAAAAAAAAGAAAATGCAAATAAAGGAAGCCACAAGAAGCCAATGCCACAGGACAAACAGGGCTGCCTGGGAGTTACCTGGACAGGTGGCCACGCAGGCACTTTTCTGGACGTTCTGCCCCTCACAGGATGTGCCTCCGTTCAGTGGCGTGGGATTGGTGCAGCTCCGGCTCCTCTTCTGCCAGCCACGCCCGCACACAGCACTGCAGGACGACCAGGTGGTCCATGTGGACCAGCCACCGTTGACTGTCAGACCGGTGCCGAGAGGAGGAGGAGGAGGAGGAGGAGGAGGAGGAGGAAGGTGGGGAGATGTTGGGGATGGGGGAGCAGTAAGGAAGAGAGGAAGGTTGAATGGAAGGAGGGAGGAAGGGATGGATGGATGAAGGAACAGAGCAGCCAGGTTTACCCGACATGCAGAAATAAAAAGAGGTGTGCTACATTTGAAAAATCGTGACTGCCTGTACACTGCTGGGCTCCACACAGAAAGGTGAACACATGGAGGAGCAGGAGCAGAGTTGGCTGCTTCCTGCATGTGTGCTGGAATTACAGCCAAACGCAGTGAAAACAAAATGACTCAACAGGAAGCGGAGTATAACCAAGCAACTTGCCAGACCAGACTAACACAGTTGCTGCAGCTGGGTGATGTTAAAACTAATATTGTATTTGAACGTTGTCATAAAGTCATCATTTCTAAAGCTCTTGGCCATGGTTTTTCTATTTGGAAAACCAAACCATTAGTGAAATATCACTTTAAGTTACAGTGTCCCCCAAAAACTTTGAATGTTTTTTTTTTCTTTTTCCACATTTGGTCATGTCACATCCACAAACTTCAATGATTGGGATTTTATGTTGAACAAACAAAGGAGCTCGCAACTCTAAGATGAAAACAATTAAGTTTATATATATATCTAACATTTTTTCCAATATAAATAATTAATAAACTTAGAGCAGACCAAGTTACACTTTGGTGACTTTCATTCATATGACTTGTACCACAAGTTGTTGTAAATCACTTAAAATTGTGCATCAACAAGCATTAAATGTGTTGGATAATAAATCTAATGGTGTAGATAATCTCACATTCTCCAAAAACATAAACAAAGTTGGAATAACATGATTCTGTCTTGGTTTATAAAATACCTCATGGCTCTGCTAAACCTCTGTTACAACAACAGATGGAAATTAGCCATTTGGTTATAATCACCTGTATTTAAATGTTCATTCTTACGTATTATTATTATTTTAAATAGACTAGAAACTAAATTAAACTAAATGAGGAAAAATGATACAACTTAAAGTCTGGAAAGTGTATCATGTACACGTATTTATTAACTCTGAGTAGCATTTCATCGTCTAGTGAAGAAATTCATCCCTGCGTCATGAAGCTGCCACCACCAGGAGCCACAGTGGGGTCGGTCGACGCTCCAGGCTTTTCTGTCACACATGACAACTAAATAGGCCAAAACGTTACATTTTTCCCCTCTTTTGCCCAGAGTGCCTTGTATCACATGTGGCTTGCGGCTCGAAGCAGACAGAAAAAAAAAAAAAAAAAAAACTAAAAGGGCCATCTCTTTTAAAACGGTTTTGCAATAAACTTGTACAGATGAGTCCCTCAATGATCTCCCTCTGGTCATTCATAAATTATGAATCAAACTTATTGCTGAACTTAAAGAGGCATGGAGTTGAGTTTCTCAGGGTCAATATAAAGCGTTGAGCACGAAATGAGAGTCAGAAAACTCCTAAAACATTAAACACGTTTGCGGCGTGTTACAGCTTTTGGGTTTTATTTACGAGCGCAACAGAAACCAGCTTTTATGAAACTGTACCAAACTAAGATCCAGTGATATGTTGTTGTTTTTTGTGAAAGTCAGCTCAACTTGTTCAACATGCATTTACTGGCCATGCAAGTCAAATACACACAGTGGTAGTCTCTGTGTTTTGCCTTGATTCTCCCAGCCAGCTGGCCGTCCAGATTGCCTGTAATTGCTCTATCACACAGTCGAGCAGCACCGTTGTTTTACCCCTTCACAAGTCAGCTGATACCAGATTCTGACTCCTTTTCTTGACAAGTCAGCGACGCCCCCTGTTACTTGGTCTTTTCACAAGATAAACAGAGCGAAAAAAAAAACATCTTAATGAAGTGCTTCGTGAAAGGTGAGATACACCTTCGATTTATCTCTCTCGACAATCTTTTTCTGTCCACGCTTTGTAAAACAAAGGTGTTTGCCACACATGACTAATTGTCATTTTGACAAAGTTTCCTGTCTCAGTTGTGGATGTCAGCAGCTCCTCCAGAGTCACTATGGGCTTCTGCGCCCTCTGTTTACTATTTAGGTCATTTCTAAAGGCAATTAGTTGGACTTGATTTCGCTTAGGGGTATCAGTTTAAATGAGGCTATAAGGATTTTTGTTCTACCTCACAATCATGCACTTCTTTGTGTTGATCTATTACATAAAAGCCCAGTGAAATATGTAAAGATGTGTGGTTGTACTACAGTGTCTAAGGGGCATGAATACTTTTTTTTGCCAGATACTTTAAACCACCCTTCACACACCGATTTGACGACATTATTCAAACAAAGCCTAGAGTTCGGGCATTTCATGAACTTTAAACAGCAAATTCCTATTACTGCAGCTATTTGCTGAGCCATTGCTCCTGTTCTAAACTTTAAGTGTCAATTATCATGTAACTGATACTGTTGAAGCACCTCTCAATCATGGCAGGTGATTACATCAAATCATGCAGCTTCTTTCCCAGCATCTACCGTGTTTCCTCCAGCCTATGAGCTACACAGATTCCTGATTTATTGACCTGAGCGGCACTGTCATTGCCTCTCTGTACATACTCCCTTCGTAATTTCCCCTTAACTCTCTGCGCTTGTCGGGGCTGAATCATTTCCTTGCCCTCTCTATGCAATTGATTGCTCGCCACAGCAAGGTAAATTGCCAGGCAACTCGGCCTCTGATTACCTCTTAGCACCGAGTGCAGTCACACACCAGCCGGGTCTTGTTAAAATGCATCTCTGGGCCCCCTGTTGAGCCGCCTTGGAAAAGTAGAAGTTATTATCAGTTGCTACCGCTAGGTAGATTAACTAAAATGGTAGACAGAGATGCTGCACGATAAACGGTTCGCTGCAAGGTAAAGATACAGAAACATCAGAACCAGGTCTGCAGATAGAGGAACAATTTCCTCTGTTCTGATTTATCCTCAGCTAATATGACTCATTTTATCAAGCGCATATTGAGATGAGAGGGATGTTGCACAAATGGCCTCCTGCATCAGTCTTTCATAATTTATTGGAGCAACGAATGAAAGGGACTGCTTGAACCCACTATAGAGGCGAACAATAGGAGCGTGAATGCACTTGCCTCCACAGTAAATTAAGCTCTATATTCCCTTTAACAACAACCTAATCAATTATAATCAACACCAGTCACAATTGCGCTTTTTGTAACGTTTTAATGCCTGTGGCTCGATGAGGCATATGATAATGTGTGGTTTGACCACCTGCTCTAAATTAACATGTTTCTTTTGAAAACATTCAGAGTGAAAATGATTTCCTCACTTTAACTGATGTTCAAAACTATTTCAGCATTTCTTACCAACTTTAGAGTTTGCACAGTTTTGACTGAATAAAAGGTGGGAACCTTGAAAAAGTTCCTCTCAATTACATTTTACCTGACAGGTACTGAAATAACTATTATTTAATAATTTTCCCAAACAAGTTGCCACTTGGAAATAATGTGAGATGAGTGTTAGACTTTCATGCCTCCAACAAGCTGAGTAGGACTCAACCTGGACACAATATATGGAATGAAATGGTCATAACACAATCAATGTTTACAACACAAGCGCTGCAAAGGACTGCTTTGATGTAATATTCGGTTGGGTATTGAGTTTCACGTGGTGTTGAGTCGCACTGTGATTGCCAATCATCTATCTCGTCAAGTAGCGGGTCTCTAACTGATGCACATCATATAAACATAACGATATAGGAGGAAAAATGAAGAAAAAATATTGTAAACAAAGCTGCAAATGTCAGATAACATTGCTCTATCTGCTGCTTTTCGTAAGATAGTTTATAGTGTTTTAGAGATTAGAGAAAGTACCTTACTAAATGTTTTAATTTATCTATCAAGGCTACTTCTAGTAGAATATCTTCACTCTTTAAGCATCATTCCCCCCATAAATCTGCTGAGATTTCACTGTGAGCTTTAGCGGACTGAAAAGAAAAAAGGGCCGTGAATCTTTTAGAGCAACGTTAATCTGAGACCTGTGCAATTTAATCTGCTTTTTAATTGAATAGGTTTGATCTTAATCTTTTGTAATAAACATGTTTTTTTCCCCCCTGTTTCTTGTAATAGCCTCATTATAAATAGTTTGAGTGGGAGCAGGACAAAATCAAAGCCTTTGATTTTTCTGAGCAAAAGTGGAAAATAATGACATAATAAAAGCATGTTCATGCAGAAAAAAGTGTGTAAATGGGAAACAAATATCCAGATATTTTCTTATGGAACGCCTGTAGTGCAGCATGTATTGCTGTTTTTCACAGCAGGAATGCATCCCTTTGTTGAACTGGTGTTGTGTACGTACCTGCCCACGGCAGCACACATATGTGTGAACTATAAAAACACAGCTCACCTCAAATTGCTGTCACCTGTTTTCGTGTTGGCATTTTTGCTTCAAAGACACACACACACGCGCACGCACACACACAAACTTTCACACCCTGTCTGCAGAATGTGGACTTTTCACTTAAAATCTGCCAAAGTAACACCTTCACTAAGGTGCGGATGTGTTTATTTGTCCTTTGGAAATGCGACTCCTGAGAATTAATCGGTAAAATTGTGTTTTATGCCACACCTGGAGTGTCTTTTAATTCTCTGAACATCTGCTCACACAAACTTTTTTAAAACTTTCTTCTTTTAACACAGTTTGCAAATTTCAACTGTAATTTGAATTAACAATCCACATTTAAAATGTGTCTATTTGCATCTGGAGAAGCTATAATGAATACGTCTTTTAAAAAAAAATCATTTTAACAACAGTTGCAGAAAATAAAAAATAAAAATGGTCCCTCTTCTATTCTTTTGTTTCTACTTAACAGGATTTTTACTAGATAAGAAAGTTAAGCAAATTTGACCTCAGTTGTGCAAATGAGACTCCATGTTATCCTTATTTGACAAAAAATAAACACAAAATGGAAAAACTGTAAAAGTGCATCTAATAGGTAGGGTTTCTGACAATTAGATAGAAAAATCTGTAAGTCTAAGCTGTTTGAAAAAGTGTCCAGGAAAATGTATTTTCTTCAAAGTTTGCATCTGAATGACAAGAGGGTGAGCCCAAATTATCGATCAGTGTCCATGAAAAAATAAAGCGCCATGTTTGGCTCAAGCTAAATACATTGAATAAGCATCCATACATCAGACCAACTGTTGAGCATAGTGGTGGAGGAGTTATGATTTGGGATTGTTTTGCAGCCACAAGATCTAGGCACACATAAATCAACCAAAAATATCTCTGTATTTCAAAGTTTCCTAGAGTGAAAGTTGAGGCCAAATGTGCTGAAGCAGCTGAAAGTTTTCAAGAAAATGTCTGAAAAAGAAACAAACTGAGGAATTGCCACGGCAACATTGAAAGTCTACACTTCGGCTAAATTAAAGTATTTTAGTCGAAGCAACATTGTAGAGACCAAGAACATTTTTCTCCACAGCACCGAGAATGATTAATAAAGTCATACAGAAGAAAAAAACAAACAAAAAACAAACACTGCTTCAAGATTTTGTAGTTGAGGTTTGTTTATTTCATGAATTCGTAGTTTGTCTTTGACATCTAGGGATATATCTAATAATCTTAAACCCTAAACTAGAAGGGAAGTGTGCTTTCTTTTCTGTACATGCAACAGTGTTTTATATCTTTTGGGTTATTATCAGTTTTTAACTAAAATTCAGAGTTTTCTAACTTTACTGCAACCGCAGGCTGTACTGTTTAGGAAGCCGCAACAGGAACAACCTATGACTAAGACATTGTTTCTAAATATTATTTTTCTCTCATAAAGTGGTTTTGTGAGAAATCCCCAAGTGACTTTAGTGTCCCGTTTGTATCCAGCGGAGTATAAAGGCGGTCTGTAATGTATGGATGCTTCCATTGTGTGCTAGACTTGGAACCATCTGCGATAACAAATATGGGGTTTCTCTGCATTTTAATAAAGGTCACTTGGCTTATCAGGCCTAGTCATTATTTACAGTTTGCTGTTAATTCAATTTCTTTTCTCTTACTGGATCCACAACAAAGAGGGAGGAAGATGGCAGTCATGGCATCCAACATTGCCAACTTTTATAAGAATGACTGCCAGACACATTTAAGTTGGTGTAATTAACGTCCAGCTATACTAACAAAATTTACTGCTTGGTGAGAAATGTGGAGCTGACGGTGCAAGCTGCCACCATATGTCACTCATTTGTAATGCTCTGCTTTGTAGTTATCACAGCACAAAATATGGACACAGTGCCTCGCAAAAAAAAAAAAAAATATTTGTACTCCTTGAACTTTGTCCCAGTTTGTCACGCTATAACCAGAAACATTAATGAGTTTAATAAATGGCACATATTTCAAATGTCATGTGTGTGCTCTGCATTTGTATTCATGCTCCCTGTCCTCTGATTCTGCTCAATAAAACCCCATATATTTTGTCTTCAGATGATTTCTAATTAGTACATAGTCTCTACCTGTGTGTGATTTGACTTTATTATAAATGCAGCTGTTCAGTTCTGGCCTCAGGGGCTTGTTAGGGAACCAAAAGCATCAAAAGACCAATAAACACAGCAAACTGGTGTTGAAAGTCGCTGACATTTTAACCAGTGTTAGGTTAAAAAAGCAATAACGAATGCTTAAACACCAGACTAAACTGACGGGCCGAAGCGATGAGAGTGTTAATGAGTATAAGCCCATGGTGACTCTAGAATACGCAGAGATTGAGCGATCAAGTTAGAGACAATGTCCAGAAATGTTAGAGCGACTGGCATCGAGATTCACTCTCCAGCAGGACAACGACCCAAAACATACAACCAGAGCTACATTTAAATTAAAGTATGCTCATGTGCTAGAATGACCTAGTCAAAGTCCAGACTGTAACCCAGTTGAGAATCTACAGAGAGACTCAAAAAAACGATGTTCAAAGATGCTGTTTAACTGAGCTTCAGCTAATTTGCAAAGCAGAATTGAAAGGAAAAAAAAAAACTGGTAGAAACAAACCCCAAATGACTTTCAGCTGCAGTCGCATAGAAAGTCAATGTGACTCGGGGGGATTGAATGCAAACACTGCCAGACTTCTCCTATTTTCATTTGAATAAAGATTATAAAGTCATGGATCACTTTCCTTCATCGATGCTGTGCTAGTTTGTGTCGTTCTATCCGATAAGGTACCAATAAAATACACTGACGTTTGTGGTTGTAACACAACAAAATGAGAATAAGTTCAAGGGATATGCATCCTTTAGTGGGCTCTGCAACTGCGCAATGAAAAAAAAAACCTGCAACCCGGTATGTTTCATCCAGGGGAGCACACAGAGGTTAATGTGGAAATGTGGAATACAAGAAGAAAGTAAACATGAAATGATTCCTTTGGGCAGTTTCTCGGTTTGCATAATTTGAAGAAAAAAAATTGCACCAAGACCATTTAACATCTGCTAAAAGAAGATATCGTGACCTACCATAGACCAGGACCGTGGCGGAGTTGCTTTTGCGGCGAGCAACGATGTTTTTGGCCACGCACGTGTAGTTGCCCGTGTCCAAAAGGCGGGCTTTTTTGATGACAAGATTGTTGTCAGGTGTGATGAAAAAATTGGGATCACTCAACGGGTCGAGCACGTCCTCGTTCCTCTGCCACTCCACCTGAAAAACATATTTCCACGGTCAGAACTCGGCTCAGATCAACAGAAACGCGCTCTGCGGCGAGCAGATATCATGTAGAGGACAGACTACGACATGCAAAACAAGGACACGAAGGCCGGTTTGGTGCTGGGAACAAATTTCACTCGTATAGCCAACTGATTGGAAAATGTATTACTTTATACTGTGAAGAGAGCCGCTTTTATTTTGCAGCTGCTGGTGGCCTGTGAGCAAAGCCAATCATGCTCTGCAGTGCCTTCGCTTCTCTTTCAGAAGACAAAATTGAAGTTATTCCCGTCCTGGTGTATTCACGGACAGGCTCGCTTGTTTTGCTGCTCTCACTTGACCCCGTGCCGTCTCCAGAGAAGCGATGGTATGGCAGCATTGTTGCTGGTATTACTGCCAGTTGCGATACGCCGTATAATTGGGCTTTCTTCCTCTTGCGCGCGCTATCTCTGCTTTCTCCCGCGGTGACTTCTGCTCTGATGTTCTTTTCTGTTGAACCGCGGTTGGCACCTTCCTTCCCATTTCTCTCCAAACAGTCCCTGCACTGTCGAGCTGTGATTGGCTTGTCTGCTGGCTCTCGTCTCTGGGCTGTCTGAGCTAGCAGCCGAGGCTCCTGTTGTGTTGTTATTAGAGCAGTTAGTGCCTATCTGGGACCGGGGAGGATGCAGCACATGAGGTGAAACAGCTGGCACCACTCTGGCCCTCTAAACACACACCGGCAAAATATGAGAGGGGAGAGAAAGCGACGCAAGCAGAACAAGAGAGGAGAGAGACAGAACGAGATAAGGAGAGAGTGAGACAAATAGAGCCATTCATTATGGACGGGCCTTTAGAGATGCCAAATGGGGAGTGAAGCCTCCGAGCCCATCCTGAGTGATGTGACGAGATGATGTGATGTATGGCTTCTCAGAGATGTGAAAGCAATCATAAATCAATAACAGGGAATAATTAGAGGTGTAATTTATCCATACAGGGATGGTTGTTCCCTCGGAGATGCAGCAAAGTCACTTTTTGCTCTTTGCGCCCCCCCTTCTCTCCCACCCGCCTTCTAGGAGAGGAAAGAGTAAAACGATGCTGGATGTGAGCCTATAAATATCTTCTGTATCTGTGTCTCACCTCGGCTTGTGGCACTCCCTCGGGGGGATGGCAGTGCAGTAACACCTCCTGGTCCAATGCCACCTCTTTACCCTGCGGCTCCTCCTCAAAGTTTTTTCTCAGGTCTTGCACAAAGAAAGACGGGGAGAGGAAACACAACCAATTAGGATGTTTGTTAGAGCTCATGACATTTGAAAGAAATCCTTTGAAAAAAACAAAAAAGCCCAAAAACAAACTGGGTCTGGTGATGTTTTTTAAATTCCAGCCCCTGAAATGTTCAACCGTGGCCTCGTGTCGCACTCCAGTTGGCCTCTAAGCCACAGTGGAATCAGTGGCACCAACCATGTTGCTTATTACAGGCTGCCTGGCTGGTTCGGAGATGTTTGTCTGCTGCCAGAGGGACCTGCGCTGAGCAAAAGCAATTGCATTACCCCTTCCTCCCACCCAGCCTCCCCCCTCACCAGCCCCCAGCCTCAGGCAGCCTCCGGCCCCCATCTGTGTGTCGGCTTGGAGCAGCCGCACGAAAACAATGCCCCAAGGCGCCTGGACAAGAGCTCCTGCAAAGCCCGCCCGGCTGCGCGGGGGCTTCACTTTATGTCTCATTGAGCAATCTTACAGTTGCATCAAGCCCTGCAATATATTTGTCTGTAAACCCCAGCTGTGAGTTGCACAGGTAGAAGTGGCTCGGCTTTTTTCGTCTTGCAGGAGGCGGGAGAGGGAATAAACGCAGGTCTGTTTGGACCGGATGAGACAGGCAGGCTGCCGATAGCTGGCGGCTCGGTGCAAATTTGATGTGTTCAACCCCGTGTTTTGACTCAGAGCAAAGCAATGTGTTATCGTGTTTGCGAGGGGCTGAGGGTGAATTCCTTTAAACGGGATGTTCAGCCTGTCCTGACCGATCACACTGGAGGAAACGTTGAGACAAGCGGAGAGTTTCATGACATTTAATTTAATTAAAGCAGATAAAAGGGGACTGGAGGACACTCGAGACGTAACAGCTCTAGAAAGCTCTAAAGTATGCGAGTGTAAGTGGGGTGCGGATAAATATTGGAAATGTGTCCTGATGCATGGCTATTAAGGCATGTGTATGTCCTTATCTTACATCTATCTGACTTTGTTAAGATCCCCAACAAGGGTAGATAATGAATGTGTGTTTTCGAAAAAGCCTTGTGGTTTGGAGCCTGCGCTGCATTTGCCTGTGTCTGGAATAATACATATTTATGTGGGAATTAATAGGCAGAATGCTGTAAAATGCTCAAATGTAAAATGACTCCTTCTAATAAAGCTTTTGAGGCGGCGGCGAGGGATGCGCCTGTGTTCCCCAGGCAGATTTATGATTGCTGCACAGCAATAAATTTCAATTCTGTTTTTATTCAAGTTACTTTCACAGGGATCATTGCTGATATACTGTAGCTCGTGAGAAATATGCTCATGAATACTTAAATCTAGTGTTCCACTTTTTCCCCTTTTACCCCCCCCCTTTTTTTGCCTTTCTTCCTGCAGTATTCAGAAATGTTCATTCAATAATCAGAATCACAGGAACAAACGTTCTCCTATCCCTAAAACCTCTTCACATTTTTGTCCAATACAGCCACAACTTCTAATGGATTCTTTAGATTTTTTTTTTTTTTTTTAGCTAGACCACTTGAAAATATTGCATAATATTGAGGTTGAAAAACATTAATAGTTTTCTTTGCATGTTTTCTGGCCTTCTTGTACTCCTAAATATAACTCAATGCAATAAGTTTTCTCCCAATGTCGTCATTAAGGACGCAGCAGATGAGTCTTTTTGAGATTTAAAAATCAGGTTTTAATAAATGAATCCATCCAGCATTAAAGAAATCTCTAAAACTTTATTTTAATCAATAATCAAACAGAACCTAAACTGAGAGGCAGAGCAAGCAGAGCATCAATCAGTCATATATGCCACAAATCTGGTCTTTATGAAAAAAAAAAAGAAAAAGTCACGAGAAGTTTTCTCTTCAATTTCACACAAATCATGTAGAGGATACATCAAACATGTGAAAGACTTGGTTAAATAAGACCAACACTAAACTATTTTAGCCACACTGTTCTGTGTCGCAGAAAATTAAAACCACACATAACCCTAAACATGCCATCGATGGAAACTGGATGGGATGAGAACAGGGCCATCCAGGCGGTCCGACGCTGTGAAATAGTTGAAACTGGGTTGGAGGTTCACCTCCTATAGCAGCAATATGATCCTGAACAAACATCCAAAGTTACAGTGGAGAGTTTTAGATGAAAGCATCCTGGTCGTCCAGAAGGACAGAGTCAAAGTCAGATCTAAATTCAGTGTTTCTATATTCCTATATGTACGCTAAAATGTTTTCATGTGCCACATAAATAGACTGAATTGAACTAAATAGGATCTGCAGAAAGTCACCTGCCCTGTCACCTCAAATCCCAACAGAATAAGTTTAATTTGAGGCTAAAGCACAAAAAAGTGAGTATTAACACTTTTACAGGGGGCACTATAGCTTAATTTTAACAACTCTACGATTGAGATTGCAATGATTTTCCAAACTAATTGTTAAATAAGAGTCAGTCCATGTCTGTCCCTGTTCTGATCCTAAGCTCTTATTACACCTAGGCATGCAAATGTGAGCACCTTGTTAAGAAACCCATGCATTCGTAATGACAGTGAGATCGTTTTAAGTGCACTCACAAGCAATCCTGATGTACGCTTTCTGGCTCTTCTGCGTTCCAGTGGTGCTCCAGGCGACACACTGACACCAGTACTCATCGAGGCCGAAGATCTTCTCCACCTGCTGCCTGGTGATCTCAATCGTCACCTGCATGACCGGCAACGCTGCAAAGCAGGGACAGACATAACAGCATCATGAATCACCCACATCAGCTTCTCGTGAGAGCAGCAAAAAGTTAAACGGCTGTGTTTTGTACTTTGAGTAATTAGACAATAAAGCGAGGCAGAATAAACAAGCAGACAAGCATAATCCTATATAAACAGAGGGCTTGTTAACGGAGGAAAATGAGACGACAGCCTCACAGCTACCCTGCTGTAAATCTGGAGGGCGTTAAAATGGCAACAGTTGGGAAGGAACACCGGAGCGCTAAACAAACGCTGGAAACAAAAATATATCCAGCGTCGCCCGCCTCCCTCTATCATCAAATCTAAGATGGGAGGAAGAGTTCAATTTGTGGAGCATTTCTACAACAGCGCAGAAGTAAGAGATGCAGCTGTAACACAAGGTAAAAATAGCTTTATTGCTTTTCTGCCAGAACGGACTTGCAAGTCTTCTCTAAATAGAGAAAAATTGGGACAAAAACCATCCTGCCAAACTGACAAAACACTATAACGTTGTCACAAGCTTATCTGAGTTTAGAAATCTTTCATTTCATTGTCGTCCGATGTTATATATATATATATCCTCTATATGAGCTGCGACCTTGCCCCCACTCCCATTTTCACCCATGTCTCTTTACCCCGATAGAATAAGACGGGAGATTGCAATGTTTTTCTTGAGCTTTCCGCTTTCGCTCCGTCTTCTATTTTCTGTTTGGGAGACAGTCGTTCATCTGACAGTTGCAATGGAAACCGGAGGCCGACCGAAGGGAATGACTCAGACAATTACATTCGGATTCAGTGGGGGACCTCTCTTTGATGGCCATTTGCATAAAAGCACTTTGAGACTCCTCCACGCCCCTCACACTCCTGATGTGTCTGAACTGATCATTTGCTGCTGCAATCTGATGCGGGAGGAAGTGGCACCTGCCACAATAACAAACACATACGTTCGGCCTATTTTAAAATCTGCAACACAACAACAACAACAAAAAAAAATAAATAAAATAATAATAATAATATGGTGACTTTTGGTTTCTGTTGCAGAAAAAGCGGTGGCTCTGTCGCCGACTCAGTGATAAGTAGCTGTGAGGGTCACTGGCAGACGGCCATGTATTCGTATCTAAGTGCAGTAGATTTTTCTATATGTGATCACAGTGAATGTGACTACATGTGCTGTGAATCCAGCCCTGAAGCACCACTAGGAGCGTCAACAACAACCCATGCTGTCCGTCGGATTTCACCAACGTTGTTCACCAGCAACAGCTAATTTGGCAAACAGAGTAAAGGGTTATTTTTGCATATTTATTTCTTCTCTTAATGCTGCCGATAAGTGTCAGAAATTGAGATTCATTTAAGAAACAAAACAAAAACAAAACAAATGCATTATTTAGAGCCTCCATTTACTCTCTTTTTGTCTCTTTGAAGTCGAGCTTTTTGGAGGAGAGTGTTTGTGTGCTGACACGAGTCTGCAGCCGGAGAGTTTGACACAGGCTGAGAGAGCGCCTAAAAGCTAAAACAAATGGCTAAAGTAACAAAATGGGCACTACAGAGAATGAACAAATGGAGCAGAAGAAATCCAGCTTTCTCTTTTCTGCAAATCAGCATCACACCTGCATCCAGCTTTCCATTCTGAATATAAAAACTAACAAGCGGAACAACTTTTATGTTTGCCACTTGATAATTCCGTATCATTTTGCAAATTACGCAAAATAAAAAAAAAAAAAAAAAAACGAATCTGAAAATCCTGAAACCAGGTCTAGCATTAGGAGAACACTGAGTCATTGCTCGGCTTTTTAAAAATCCCCAACCTGAGCGGAAAATGAATTAGCTTTCTTGCTCCAAATACAATAGCTGCCATTATAAATTAGTTATTGACACGACTCATAAACTTCTTACATGATACAAGAGAAAAAAAAAACTGCTGATGTAAAACAAGGCCTTAAATCTACATTTCAAATTAACTTCTTAGAAATCCTCTCAACCTTGGATGTTAAGTAGAGAAAAACATCTGATGGCTCTGATTTACGCCAAGCTCTCAGCAGCTTATGTGTGCAAAACAGAGAGCCATACCTGAATACATACATTTAAAATCTGGCCCTGACTGCCATTCTGAGCTCTGCATATACCATTTGATTAATGCAAACCTTCTTATTCGCTCCGAGCTGGAGGGCAAAGGGACCACAGATCCGTTTGGACATGGATAGCATGAACAATAGCAAGCTGAGGTGAGAAATCCTAAGAAGAGCAATTTGAAGCTCTGCTTGCCAGGCTAATTGCATTCTGTTTCCTTATCTCTTCCTGTCTCTATAATTACCTGCTTTCTGTGTCTGACACCTTCCAGTAACACCCCTCTGAGTCACTCTGTCCAATTTCACTCCAATTAATAAGAGGGACAAAACAACCTCATCACTTATAGAAAAAAAAAAAGCCACTTAATAACAGTTGGATGGGGTATATTTTATGCATTTTTTTAAAAGTTGACCTCTTTTGAAGATGAAAAATACAAACTTTTTGATCCTTACTGAAAGAAGGCCAGTTCAGAAACTACTTTATCAAAAAACAAATATCAAAAAAAAAAAAAAAAAAAATATCCTCACAACTATGGTTAATACAAACTTATAATAATCTGCTAAGCAGCCTCTGATGTTTTAGTGTTTTAAAAAAAAGGGAAGTGAAATTTTACACGTTTTCTCCTGCACTTAACATTCTTGTTAAATGATAATTAAAACATGACACGATTCCCTCAGCCTTCAGTTTGATCTGCGGCCCATTTATAAATGAGCTCAAATCCCAAACCTCAGTAAAATTACAGTGAAAAATTTAAAGGGTGATTATGTGATTGACACCACAGGAATCCTGGGCTTACAGCTGGAACCCCGGTGAGTTAATTTTTATTGGAGCGCAAGGGGCAACTTAGTGGGCTGTGCTCAGCCATGATATGTTTGCCTCTGTAGCGCTGCAAGGAAATTTAGAAGAGGCTGACAAACAGGAAACAAAACAGCTTGAATCCAATATCTAAAGCATTAGAATGAGCTTCTCTGGCAACGTCCTCACAGACTGTTAACCAAACCACTAAATTCAGATTCAGCTTTTTGCCCTTTACATTTCTGTGTTCCAGTGAACTCGTCTGAAATTTCCTGGTTTTATTAAAGCGTTGTTGTGTCGCTCGGTTGAACAGCTGACAATGGAGAGACCAAAGGTGACAATGCTAAGATCAACGAGAAATGTTCAGTAGACTAACGTTCAGTCATCTTTGCAACATGCATATAAGTGCTTGGATCCAATATTTGGTAGAATATTTTGTATTTCAGTTTCATGCATTAAAAGTCTTAAAACTATCTTTGGCGGCCAATTTGATAAACTTTCACTAGACTTTAATAATATAATGTGATGCAGATTTTAGTGACAGCGACGCAACATTCATGGAGAGCAGAGGAGATATGATGATATGAACGAAGGTTTGAAAAGTTCGGATTAATGGTCATAATTATTGCTACTGCAATATTCCAAACTGTTTTGTAGCTGAATGTTTTCCTCCTAAGGTGCAAACCAAATTTTATAGTTTACATTTTATAAATGTATAAGGGTAAGGTTTAAATTTTTTTTATTGAGATGAAAGAGCCTATACAGTTTCCTCCAGTCCTATATGAACAACTTCTTAAGGAAGGACCTACTTACTACTACTACTACTACTAATAATAATAATAATAATAATAATAATAAACACTACGGGACGCATGGTTAATTTTACAAGCTAATATCAACTTGTTAGATTCCAAATAATATTTTACAAAAACCAAAACGACTAAAAAGACATAATCTTCTGACACATTACCAACAATCTTCAGTGACATATGTTAAGATATTTGTTTCAAATGCATGTTCTGGCTAAATGAAAATAAGAAAATTTAAGTTTCCTAAGTTATAACATCAGACTAGCCATTCTTACCTGAGATTAAAAATAAGCTTTGAAATTGTTTTCCAAAGACATTTTTCTCAAGAATAAATGCTTTTAAAGATTTTAAAATATCTTTGATTTTAGCTGGAAAACTGTTTTTTTTTTTTTGCCAACATAGAGCATCTACTATGGAGATGTTGTTTTCCCTACAAAGCAAGAGCTCATATACTGGAGGTAAAACAACATATACATCAGATTCTGCTTTAAACTCCGTCTTTATGAGATAGAAATACCAAATAAAAAAATAAAAAAACACTGGATGGTTCATTGACTTCTTAGTGTGTTCTTGTTTTAAACGAGACCCTAAAATCCACCGATAATCTTTACATTTTCTGTCACCCTGGCACCAAAAGCAACAGTCCCCCCTTTGTTCTGTGTTTGTCAGCAACATGGTGTCCTGCAGGCTTGCTTATAATTTCTCCTCCTTGTTGGCTCTTTAATGACTTTGTCAGCATATCACATGCAAAATAAAAGGATGTAGCATTTTGTGTAGTAAACATGCAAGACACACTTTATATCTCTCAACGTTGCGACAACTTGTTTTTCTTCACTCAGCAGAGCAGAGCAGAGCATGCCATTGTGTGTGCCTACATACAATTCACATTTATTATAAAACCAATGTGAAGGGTTTGCAGTATAAATATCAGGACCAAAATACAGCTTGCAGTCTCTAAAACCCAACCAGTAATATGAATATAAGCAATATGAACGGGGAGAAAGACGTGAACTGACTGTGTTGTTCTTTGTCCTTTATGTGAGCAGGTACTGGCTGTTCATGCTCTGCAGACAAAAACGATCTTTCATATGACCAGTCAAGGGCAACATTTCCATCAGAACTGATTCACAACAGGTATTTCCATCTGCCAAACTACATATCAGCTCTTTCCTGAAAAAGTGAGGATAAATTTCACTTGTGTAATGACTTTTTCCCAACTTCAAATCCACAGAGCTTTCCTACTGTGGCCCTGTAGACATGTCGATGGAAATGTGAGTGACAGCTTAAGTTTGACTGCTGAAGACATGTAGTAACAACCAGGAAATTTTAGACAGTGTTTAAGAGTTAGTGAGGGAATC